AAACGAGTTTCCCTGATCACTCTTATCCACGTTGCTGTTCTTTCTCCTTACTGTGAGCTCCCACAGAAACTCATTGTAGGCCTTAGTTGGCGCATGTTATAAACTCTCATGGTGGTAGTTATCTCTAGAATATATCTAGTATTAACTTAAGGTCTCAATCAGTAAGCACCTTGAGGGCAGGACGTCTGTTATCTTATGCTCCTTTGGGCCCTCTCCAGAGCAGAGCCTCGTGTCTTGTACTTGGGTCCAGTAATACTGAATAACTGTAAAGCTAATGGAAGACATGGAGTATACTGAGGACCAAAGTTGGATTCAATTTGGAGCAAACGAGCACGTCAATGGTGAGGCTGTAAAGGTTTGAGAACACGAATGTGGGTAGGAAAATTGAACTGAAAATGAAATTTCCAATCTCTGATGATAATTCCTTCCCCACTATGTATTCCTGGTCAAGGTTTTCTTTCTTCCCATCCCCCCCCCTTTTTCCTTCCAGCATCAGCCAGGTGCAGAACAAAAGGAAATGAATGATTTAGTTATTGCTCCAATGCTGAAAGTCTGGAAGTCAGTCATTCGGAGCAGGGTCCATTGTACGGCCCTGCATGTCTCAGGCCTCGGTGGCTATGCTTCCAATCGCCACAGTGAGGGCCAATGCTGGACGCCTGGCTTCTAAGCAAGAGAGATGAAAGGCTTCTTCTAATGTAATAACTGACGGCCTCTCAGTGCCGTTTGAACTGTTTACAGACTGAGTTAACGATTACAGGCTATGTGTATCTTGGCCAGGTGCCCGAAATTCTTACCCACCCGTCAGATATTATCAAAGAGCCCTTCCATGCCTGGCTGGAGTCTTTCCAAAGCACCTCACAGAGATGCCGACACAAAAGGAGGAGTGTTCAGAATGTGCTCTCTCTCCTGAGGCCAGGGCAAGAAAGTTAGAGAATCAGGCATGAATTAGGTGCTGAGGGGGCAGAGTTTCCAGAACTGCTCAGGACTGGGGAAAGGGGTCAAGGTCAGCACTGAGGCCAGAAGAACCGGATTCCTCTCTAAGCAGTTTAGGAGGTGTAGGTAAGTAAGAGTCTTCACTGCTGGCAGCTAGAGGTTGATGAGCGTAGGGAAACAAGACCCTTGAAGTGAAGCAGAAATCTGCACCACCACATGAAACAGAAGCCCCTAACACATCAGATCTGCAAGGCTGGATTTATTATGCGGCAGCATACAGAGGGTGGAGGGAAGTAGATTGTTTTTTTCTAAGAGCAATAGCTAAGTTGAGAAAGAACAGCATCTCAAGACCAAGAAAGAATAAGAGACTTCAAAAGTGATAGTAAATAAAGTTAAGGGAGGCTAAGAAGACACCTCTTTACTGAGGTGAGTCTCAAGAGACCAAATGTCATCTGTTTGAGCAGTATCAAAATGTTTTTCACACAAATACAGACAGTTAATCATGAGATATAATGGAAAACTGGCTAGCTTACGACCAAAAAAGAGACTTAACACCAAGAATGCCAGAAAAGCTTTCTGGGGGCAGCAAATATTAAAGAGCACTCAAGCCAGGGAACACCAAGTCTAGTTATTATTTAACTAAATGCTAACTTGTGGACTCCAAAGTAAGATAGTAGGGAGTTTCTACTATTTCTTTATGAACCACCTATTGGCCCCTGAATACATTTGGAAGTGGAGTAAATGGCAGCCCCCACACCTAAGCCTTAGAAATCTCAAGTCAATAGATAAGACAGTTGCACATTCACTCCAGAACTCTCTCCAAAGAGGAATACCTGTCTTCAAACGCTAAGGAAGGGTTATATGGCTTTTTTTACTTCCATACATGGCCTGATAAGGGAATAGACATTACATAACTTATCACAAAATGCTCTCACAAGAAAATTTGGGGACAGTGCATGCAATTCATATTCTTCTATCCATGTATGAATATAATCATCATTAGTACATTGTGTTTCCTTGAATTTTCTTTACAGCCTCAACTGGAAATGGTTGTTTTATTCTCCTGTCCTAACTTGCTGAGCAATGTTGCTATTATGGAGCAGCTGGTGACCTACCCTGTGTAGTGGAGGATAGGACATCATGTTAGAAGATAATTCTTCAGACTATCTACCTTGAGGTGGGGGTGAACTTGACATTATTATTTTGATTGCAGTATAGATTAGGAAACTGACCTGATTTTTGAGACTCATAATGTTTATATTTTCTGCAACAGACCACAACCCATGTGCATTTACTTGCACAAGGCTTGAACAGAAACACAATTAGATATTGAGTTGCTTCAAAAAAGCACTTCCAACATTCTCTAGACTACTATCTATATGGGGATACTCTTCTCTCCTGGGGTGGGTAAGATTAGATAGAGGTCAGTTTGATTTTTAGAAAAAAAAAAAAAAGAATACAAATCAAAATCTTGTTTGCAATGAAACTGTAGAAAGAATATGACTCAGTGGTAAGCTTGAGAGGTAAAATTACAAAAGTAAATCCTATCAGTTGATGTTGAATTTTATGAAGAAATTCCAGATAATCCCTTAGAATTTGGCCCCATAATCTTCTAGAAAATAGCTTCAAAGAAGGAAGAGAAGATGCCTCTAGCCTCTCTAAATAGGTGGTTAGCAATGACTTGGTATCAGATAGAATGAAAACAAGCAATGCACTGGATATTGTACAAATGAAAATAATTTAGAAAATCATTAGGGAAACGGAAGAAGTCAAGTATACAAGGACTAAGAATGATGCTATTGCAGTTTTTTCTTTTTAAAGGTTTTATTTATTTATTTGACAGAGAGAGACACAGCGCGAGAGGGAACACAAGCAGGGGGAGTGGGAGAGGGAGAAGCAGGCTTCCCACCAAGCAGGGAGCCCGATGCGGGGCTCGATCCCAGGACCCTGGGATCATGACCTGAGCCACAGGCAGACACTTAACGACTGAGCCACCCAGGTGCCCCTGGTTTTTTTTTTAAGATTTTATTTTTATTTATTTATTTAGAGAGAGAGAGAGAGAGAGCAGCTAAAGTGGGGGGAGGGGCAGAGGGGGGGAGAGAGAGAGAGAATCCTCAAGCAGACTCCCCACTGAGCAGGGAACCCAATGCAGGGCTCGATCCCATGACCCTGAGATCAGGACCTGAGCCGAAATCAAGAGTCAGATGCTCAACTGAATGAGCCACCCAGGTGCCCTTGCAGTTTTTATTATGCAAAAACAAGACAGTTTAACAATCCTCCTCAGATTGGGCGGTTGAGAGTACAACTGCAGTACCTACTACCCACTGCTTACAGCCCTTGCTTTGTAAAAGAGATTAATATACAAGAAGTTCAAAGCAGGCCAACAAAAGGATGGAAGGACTTGAGGAGATGATTCCCAGGGAAAGGCAAGGGCCAGGAAATGAATACTTCCGAGGATACCAGGAAGCCTGTAGTGTTACCTCACTAGAAATTGGACTGCTCCAGATGCATGGGTTCCACTGGAACACCAGCTGTGTCTTTGAACTTTAGGAGTCTTGGGGGCAGGGAGATGGCCCTCTTTCATCCTCCCAACTCCTCTCACCTTCAGGGTTGTGCAAATCTATGGAGGCACAATGGTTCAGCTATTTTACAGATATTCCAGAAACCTTATCTAGAGAGCCGACACTCTCCCACAGGGTTCTCCAACGTGGGGCATGGTGCTGGGCAGGCAAGTATATCAAGAAGAAAACAAAGTTCCTTATCAGTTTTCCATATAATAGGTTTACTTGGACAGATTGACAATATATGGAAAATAGATAAGAAATACCAATTTCCTTCTTCATCACAAGATTACTACTAGAACCTCTCTGCCTTCACTACTTAGTAAAACTAGCAAATATTAAACAGGATCTGAAATTCCTTTGAGGAAAAATATAAGGTAATGGCTTTAAGGGAGCCAAATGGTCTTATCCAAAGATTGTGGACAGGGCATTATCAATATGAGGCGATGTAATGTGTTGGCAAGTTCCCTAGCTTTTAAACATACACATGGCTCAGTGATTTCTGGTTAGAGCTCAGGATCCATGGTAAGATGCATCCAAACCTACTATCACAGCAATAGCATGAAGTTATTCCTTCTTTATGAAAGACAGTTTATTACTGTGCACACTTGAACTCCTAAAGATACTCACACTTCCCTGACAAGTAAACCTATGATGGCAATGAAATCAGAAAGCTATAAAACACAAAAATCTGAGAAACATTCTTTTGGAAGGAAGATCATGTAACTTAGTCCTTCACCATAAAGATCAAGTATTAAACAAACTCAAAAAAAAAAAAAATTAGACCGGTTCTGCCACTTGAGAAGGAAAAGAAATGTGGTTTCTCTAGCTAAAAGTTTTCTAGATGATGCAGGAACTGCTGCTTAGAAACTACTCTCTAAACAAACTGCAAAGGGATGACTATAAACATTTCATCAACATATTACAATAAAATTCTCTAGGAAGATGCTTTACCATTAAGGATAGAGAAAACCACAGATGCTGTGATTTCAGTTCTTCTCTTTCATTTGCTGTATTTTGTAATTTTTTCTAAAATCTAAACTTTCATTTGATAGGGAGGAAAAAAGGATCTTTCTTTCTGATGGGAAGACACAGCTGTCAGCATGTAACCCAACGTGCAGTTGCCTGTTCACGCAGCCTGTGGAACACTGTCTCCAGATGAAAATAGCAGCAACACACCAACTTATTCAACAAAATTATGAGTGAACATATACAGTGAATCTGGTACACTACATGACATACCAAGGAACAGGCCAGGTCATCAAAATCCCAACCTAAATAAGATCAACATAACGTGGAGGATAACAAAAGTGATAGCAGATTTTCATAGTGAGAAGAGACTTTTGACAGTGGGCACAGATTTTTTTTATGACCCCAAAATGAAAATGAGAGAAACGTCATAGAAGGACCATTATGTAGGTAAAAATTCTTTTTGGGGGGGTAGGGGCAGAGGAAGAGGGAGAGAGAGAGAATCTTAAGCAACCACAACCTGAGATCACAATGGGAGCCGAACGAAATCAAGAGTCAGATGCTTAACTACTGAGCCACCCTGGTAAAAATTCCTAAGGAAAGAGTCCACACCACTATGGAGAGATGAGCAAGCAGAAGTTAACAAGAAAGAGAAGAAAGCCAGCTCCAACACGCTGAATCGGAAGACAAGGCTGAAACAGAGCAAAAGACATCAGTTTGAGGTTAGAATTGATCATTTTCAACTAAGTAAATTTAACTGAAATTATGGGTGGAAGAGCGGGAGTCAGGGAAAAGAACATGGGGGGACTGTCCTAAGGTTATCCATTTTGCCTGTGACCATCCTTTCTCTCAATAGGCAAAATTTCAAAAGCCAGATAAGTAATTTGGCTTTAGGGTCTCGAAAGGCAACTATTTTCAGAGACTGGTCCAAAGTTTGCATAGAGGAAGTAGCTTCCCCTAAAGGATGGAAAATAAGTATTTAGAATATGTACATATATACTATATTCCATATATATGTTCTATGTATATGAATATAAATTCTATATATAACATATACAATGTTATTTACAAGTATATATCTAATAAATATTATTCATTCTAATCTAAACACTCATTTTCAATCCTTCATTTGTATACGGACATAAACACATACTATTACCATTATTAATAGTTTCAAGGTAGGTTGCTTTTGCTAAACATGATGTGAATTTCACATAATTTTCTATAGTGGTTGGCATAATGTATTCCATCCTCCTATCCAATTTCCTATAGAATCTGTTGAGTTTCCTCTGGTTCGGATGAATATTTTCAAATTTTTTTTCTACTTTACCTTTCTTTGGTGAAAGCTAAGCTTAGAAGTACAAAAATCTGTGTGCGTAGAGATGCAGAAATTGAGGTGGGGATTGAAAAAAAACAAACTCCGTTGAAAAGCTAGAGGGGAAAAATATATGTGTGTATACAAGCAAACTTTGTTGTAGAATAACCATTTAAAATCTAAAACAAATAAACAACTCATCGACTAGGGTCGCCTTTTCTTTTCTTTTTTCTTAATGAAACACACAGCAACACCACAAACTCAAAAGGAAAGACCAACAGCATTAAAAAAAGAAATTGAGCATTAATTCTACTCAATTCTTAAAGGCGGCTGCCAATCATGGAAGAGAATATTCTGATTAGCACCAAGTCCTTGAATACAGAAGGCATAAAAGTTTGTGATTTATTTAGCTTGCTAAGGACCAGAAGGAAGTCTTTTAAAATGTAATCTGTACCACAGAATCCCTTTCTAAAATGTATTGGTACACTTTCCTGCCTAAATACATTATAACCGAACATATTTAGCCTTTATTTGGTATCTTCGGTATAAGGATATCATTACAATCATTTTTAGCATGAATTAATTTACATTCTGAAGTATAGGAGATTGGCTGAACTTACAATGGTACCCCTAGGAAGTTCTTATATTATTTGTTTTTTAGATCCTTTATATCAGCTTCTTCCTTTTAATTTATCTCTAACTCATAAACGCAATACGGATGGATATCCCAGTTTATTTGGTATTTATTCTAGTTGGTGAAAATTTTCCTATAAAACTTGGGAAGGAATAGAATTGGAAATAAAAATTCAAGTGATCAGATATTAAATTTAGTTTGGCACCAAGATTACCAAATGTGAACAATAAAGGTATCCAAAGACAGAAACCTGAACTATTTATTTTTTTTCAAAGATTTTTATTTATTTGAGAGAGAGAGAGAGAGAGAGAGAGAGAGCATGCATGAGTTGGGGGGAGGGGCAGAGGGAGAAGAAGACTCCTCACTGAGCAGGAAGACTGATGTGGGGTTCGATCCCAGGTCCTGAGCTGAAGGCAGACGCTTAACCGACTGGGCCACCCAGGTGCCCCTGAACTATATACTTTGAATACATTTTCAGACATTCCACCCATAGAAATGGCGGCTAGCAGGCTTTCATTCTTAATACTCTATTAGCATCTCAAGACTTTGTCCAATGGCGTCAATAAATGTATAAAGATATCAAGAGGTAAAGGTCAAAAAAGAAATCATGAACATCAAAAAAGGTCGCTGGAAGTGACCCAAAACATCACATGCTGGGCTTTCCTTTTTAATGATAATAACAATGATACTGAGTGTTTATCTATGCCTTTATTTCAAAGAGTTTCAGATGCTTTGCAGACATCTCTCACTAATCTTTATTAGGCCTTGAGAAGAAAACAGATTTCCCCAAGAAGTACCTTTAGAGAAGGACTCTTCCCAAAACCAGTACAAGGGAAAAAGTTGCCCCCTCCATCTTCCCCATACACACTTGCCTCCTGACTCCCACTGTGTCAAACTGTGATTGAAATGGATTATAACACCATCCAAGTGTTGAAAGGGTAATAATGGTAATTCTGTTTGTTTCTAAGAGTTATGAGCTACGTGTATTTAATCACAACAAGGAACAGGTAAGTAGAAAAGATGAGAAAACCCATAATTACCTTTATCCCATTATTTACCTGTTTTGGGGAGAGACTTCAAACTGGTAAAGTTACAGTGGAATACAGATTTTTCCATACTGCAGAATATTAGTCTCTGAGATGCCTCAAAGGATATCTTTACCTAAAAATGATTTCCAGGCCACAAAGATCGCATAGGCGCTATGACTGAACCTGCTTATTCTCATTCTGATCTAATACTTCTCAGATGGGGAACTGGGAGTCTCAGGGACTTGTGGGGTAATTTCCAAGCAGGCTAGAGAAACTTACCTGCTGAGCTTCAAAGAAAAACATGTTGGGACCAGCACAGTACAAGTATAATGAACTGGGTAAATTAGTTCCCTTCACAGTCCTGAATGCCTCTCCTTCTATCCCTTAGAACACAGCTGCAAAGCTACACAGGAAGCTGGGAGCTTCTGCATCCCGAGCAATTGTTTCAGGGTAGCAGCAATTAAAAGAATACTCCAAAATTTCACAAAGGGAAAATGTAAGAGTGATAGGTAATATGGTTCTAGGACCCCTCTGACTCTGAGCAGTAAAAACTTAGGAATATAGCTGTTTTGTGTTGTGTAAGCGATCACCTCATTGATCCTAGAAGGAAGCTAATGGGCTCACCAGTGTAGACCAGCTACATGTTGTACAAAGGTCCAGGGAGGGCAAGTGATTCACCGCAGCACAATCCAGGCACTAACAGAACTGAAGTCCCCACCCTAGAACCCACATGCCGTTAGTCATCCTCTAAGCCATTAAGGCTACCTGTTACTACAGTCTGGGTAACATTTCATCTGCCCTTTGGCCCACAAAATTTTGAATCTAAAGCACTGTCTTTTTAGCTACATTAAAAAAACAGAAATGGTCTTATTCTTAGTTATCTTAGAATAATGCCAAATTGAATTCAAATAGGTTAACTGAGCTTAAATCAGTAACCCTCAAACTTAATGATATTTCTTACAGTAATTAGGTGAATGAGAAAGAGCTCAAGTCTAATTACTATTAATAATAACAATACCTTACATTTGCAATTTTCCAAAGACAATTCTCATTTCATTTCAGGGTGGCAGACTATTATTATTATCCCCATTTTATTTTATTTTATTTGTTTTTTTTATTTGACAGAGAGGGACACAGCGAGAAAGGGAACACAAGCAGGGGGAGTGGGAGAGGGAGAAGCAGGCTTCCCGTGGAGCAGGGAGCACGATGCGGGGCTCGATCCCACGACCCTGGGATCATGACCTGAGTGGAAGGCAGACACTAAACGACTGAGCCACCCAGGAGCCCCTATTTTATTTTTTTAAAAGATTTATTTATTTGAGAGAAAGCAAGTGTGAGTGGGGGGCGGGCAGTGGTAGAGGGAAAAAGAGAGGGAGAGAAGCAGACTCCACGCTGGGCGCGGAGCCCAATGCCGGGTTCAATCTCACGACCCTGAGATCGTGACCTGAGCCAAAGTCAAGAGTTGGACGTTTAACCGACTGAGCCACCCAGGCACCTATTATCCTCATTTTACTCATGAGGACACAGGCTCAAAGAAGTTAAGCATTTTTCCTCAAGGATCAGAGCTGAGATTAAAACACAAGACTACTGGGGTGCCTGAGTGGCTCAGTCGATTAAGCATTGGACTCTTGGTTCCAGCTCAGGTGGTGATCTCAGGGTTGTGATCTCACGGTCATGAGATTGAGCCCCACGTCAGGCTCACACTGGGCCCCATGTTGGGCTCTATGCTCAGTGTGGAGTCTGCTTAAGTTTCTCTCTCCCTCTCCCTCTGCACCCCCCTCTCTGCGCATGCTCTCTCTCTCCAAAATAAATAAATACAAAACCCAAAACAAAACACAAGGCCACTGAGAGCTCTGTTCACTGTAGGATGTTGTCACTCATTTTAGAACACCCTTTATGCCTTATTATTATGTCATTATATGTGAATACTATGCAAAGAGCACTATCTGGTGGGCATATTATTTTCAGTTATCTGATTGGTTGACAGAAATTGTGTTTCTTAGGCCAGAAGGCCTCCAGTTACACATAAAGTTAGAACACAATGAAGTAACTCTGCCCTGAGGGAACCCAAGATAGACATTGACAATTCAAAAGGAAAACATCCTCATCAAGGAAGTTAGCTAGCCTCCAAAACAATTGCCTAACCAGAGAGAGTTCACAACTGGTGACCCATAGGGTAACTTATATTTCTGGGAAACAGAAAAAGCAGCAGGGACAAATGGTAGCTTCTTCTCCTTCATTATTAGCAGAGGCATAATTGCGCAAGACAATTTCTAAATAACAAATTACCAAACGATCCATCATCCTTGGTAGATCCTGACAAAAATCTTGAAAACCAGTGAACCAGAAAGCTACATCTCCTCCATTTGATAAACAGTAAAATAATCATTGAATATGATGCAAAAGACTACCTGAGAAAAGGAGAACTAGTACTAGCCCTCCTGAAATTGGGACATCCATGTTCTTGGGCATATGCACCCACTGTTTGGGTGCCAATTACTATAGTTTCTGGGTAGAGTTTGGCCACAGGAGAAAATCAGATCTTCTGGCAGCACTTAACAAGGCAGGTGCAGTCATAAAGAACTTGACTTTTGATTCCATTGTCTCTGCCAGGACAGGTGGTTTGGTAGAAGTATGGAATCCTGCCAGACAGGCTCCAACTCAAACTTCCTTTAGAAAACAAAACAATAAAAATGGAAACAAAATGCCAAATCCTGTTCCATGCCTTTAAGATTGATATTGCTGGAAAAACTAGGGCATTTCATATGTAATTAATTTGGTTCAAGTACATATCAACTCAGGAGAAATACGGCTATGAAAACGAAAGGTTGCAGGTTAGGCTTTTCCCTTACAGTTCAATTCCCTATTCCCCTTTATAAACTTTTAAAAGGGACATTCTTAAATTTCAGTGAATTTTACCCATATATTCTTAGTGTAAGAAAACCCCCCAAACTGTAATCGAATACCTGCACAGGAGTAACGCAGGCAAGTTAGTTTGACACTGCTGAGTGGAATAAAAACTTCTGGCAAATCCTGCCTACCCCGCACATTCTGACTTACCCTCCTAGTACAAACTAGTGCTCTTAAAATTTTGTGAGAATGGTCAGTTGATGATTCCTTTAAAGAAACTGTCTTTTCTCTAAAAACCTAGAGCGTATTAGTTTAGAACAGAGTAAAAATATAAAGGATTGGTTTTGGTGGCAAAGATAGACAACTGACATTTTTAGCAGGTTTGTCTTCAGGGCAAGCCTTTGTGACTGATGATGTAGGCTCCTAGCCACAAGGACAGCACAATAAGGCTATGAGGAAGCGTGCTCAAAGAACCCTTGTGCAGGCACTGGGGCTGCCACTCTTGGAAACTCTGAGCATTTTTGGTGTTCCTGGAATTCTGTTTCCAACCACTACTTTGTGGTTGCAATGAAGGGACAGAAGAGATCTCCTAGACCAAATGCTCTCTTCTGTTCATAACCACAGAGCCAAGATTAAAATAACAAGAATGTACTTTGTCCAGGGCATAACTCTGCCTACATCTGTCCTATCCATCACTTTATTTTTTCTAATTCTTGTTTTTGTTGTTGTTAATCTACTCTAGGAAGGAAAGTCAGATAACCTACAAATGGAAGAGCTTGGAAAAATTCATGGATTCGGAGGATATTTAAGCAGCAGCCATAATCTCTTGGAACAACGGCCTATAAGTGCCCTGACTGCAAGAACCAGAATATTAATCATCGTTCTGATGCAGAAAATAATTTCTTCAAGTTACAGTGTTAATTCTCCCTAAATAATAAATGGTCTATTCAGGCCCCAGAGATGAGGCTGTGAAGCTAGAACTTAATATGGTTGTGCATCTTTATGCCTGAGCCAATCAAACGGTTTAAATCCAGAAGTAAGTTCCTCCTTCATTTACCTGCCAAGACCTGAGTTCAGGCCCTCAGGGTGCTGAGGTTTTCCTTTGTGAGAGAAAATGACATCATCAACACCTTGGAGACAGCAGAAAATGCAGGGAATGCGGCTCCCAATATTTGTGATATCATCAACGGCCCTGGGAGAAACCCCGAATTCCCAAAAAGTTGAAGTATTGAAGGTTAAAAAAGATTTTTTTGTTGTTTCAAGTTTACCAAAAAGGGCAGGTAGAGTAAGGGTCCCTCTTCCAGTAAGAACCTCAAGAACCAAACATACAGGAATTAAGTCCAGATAGAGCTATTCATCTCATTTGTAGCTTACTGGGGTACATCCAACCAAGAAGGAATACACACTTAAGTTGTATTGGGCTCTTTCCCAACTCTGAAATGAGTACATTCTTTGGGGAGACCTGCTAATGTTGCAAATTTGCATTCAAAATAAATTCTAGGCACTCACATAATCCCCCAGTCTCCTCCAAACTTTCTTTGATGTCCAACAACCAAGGACAAGGATCTTTGATTATAAAACAATTTCTTTGGTTGGAAGAAAATTCTTTGCAGGGCGTGAACAGCAGGAGAAAGAAAAGATTTTTCTGAAGTGCAAACTAGTTGGAAACCCCCTGGGGAAAGAATCGGATTCCCAGTCTTTGAGAGGGCCGGGCCTGCCTGTACAGGCTGCTTCTGCTGCTGGCCTGTAAGAAGGCACTTTTGTGTCTACTGTATGGCCCTCAGCAACAGCATGGCAGCCCTTCTCTTTTTTTTTTTTTTTTTTTTTTGCCAGCGGAAGTTTTCCAACTCTGGGGGATATAATGCAGAAAGTCACGGTTTAATAACAAGGCATAGTTACTAATCAGATGGCCCCATTTCCACTCCTTCCCAGAGACCTCCAGATGCTTGCAGACTAGAGCTCTAGCCCCTAGCCCCACACATGAAAACCTACCAGCTGCTCTGAAATCCTTATTTCTAGTGTAATTATTTTGCTTATCTCTGATAATTCAACTTCACAAAGTATTTTAGCATCAGACACATCATCCTTTTACTGCTATGGCCCAGACTGGCTCTAGGTTATCTATGGCTTTTCCAAACTTTTCTGAAGGTTCAGATTCACTTAGATGTAGGCTCATGATTGAAATCAGTGTGGTTTGGTGGCTGAGACATCTTGATGAAGAATTTAGAATAAGGGTCCTCAATCCACTGCAGATATTTTAAAATATAAATCTCCAGAGAAAAACTCATTTTTGTGTGGTTTAACTGAATGTAAAGGCAGTAAAGGACCAGAGGACTGGGAGTGCACCTGAGTCTGATGGTTCATTTTGCTACCAATTTGTTGTGTGACTTTAAGAAATTTGGTCAGATTTTTTGTACTACCTACCAGATAAATTTTATCTCAGGGAAAAGAAATAAATAAGCAAGTTACATGTCCCTTTAATATAATAAGTATTTCTAGGGCAAACATAAACTCTGTTTAGAGCTAGAAAGGATCTTAAAGATTATTATTTTTTAAGATTTTATTTATTTATTTGAGAGAGAGAGAGAGGGAGAAAGCGTGCCTGAGCAGAGGGAGGGGCAGAGGGAGAGGAAGAGGAGGCTCCCCACTGAGCCCGGAGCCCGAGGCGGGACTCGATCCCAGAACCCCAAGATCATGACCTGAGCCAAAGGCAGATGCTTAACCGACTGAACCACCCAGGTGCCCCAGGATCTTAAAGATCATTTAGTTACCCTACCAACTGTACCCCAACAGATGATAGGTTATATTACTTACTTTTTAAATGGTCACAAGGCACCTGTGGACTTTTCATATACCCAAAGGGGACAACTAAATTCCACACAATCTCTAATGGCAATAAAAATATATGATGTATAACCATACAGTTTACTAACTTCAGAGCAGGTCACAGCCTACTGTTGTTGTTACAGGAGACACGTACATTCTTCTAGAGTTAGCTTCTATATCCCTCATATTATACTAAAGTCACAACACATTTTAGAGAATGGAAATAACAGATGCTGATGACTACAGTCAATAATTTTTTAAAACCTTGGTATTAGAAACAAATTTTGCTGAATAGAGATGATATTCAAATACCATCCACCTTCTACATAGTCTTAGTATTTATTTCTTCTTTTATGCAGTTTGGAAAGAATTAAAACTGAGCTAGTGAGATTCTCAATTCAAACAGAACTCCTAATATGTTGGATTCTGTTTAAAGCTAAATTTTGTTTTAATTTTACTGCAACTTAAGAATTTTTTGTACATTTTAGAAAACTTCCAATTTGAGAAGAAAACCATGGTGTTTATTTGAAATTCTAGTGAAAATGCTACAGATTAGCATTATACATACAGGAATATTTATACAGGCAATATTATAACCTATATTTAACTGATAACAGTGCAAATTAGAAGATATGACTGGCTTGTAGTTGTCCTCTAGCTTGATGCTACTTGAAGTTGCCTAGTCAAAATCTTATTTTTGTTTGTTTTTTCTTTAGTCCTAGGGAACTGTGAAACAGAACTACCACAGTCATGTGAAAGACTCCCGAGAGAGCCAAAATCGGCACTCTGACACATCCATGCCTGCACCTCTTGCTTGGCATTTATCTCACACGGCTGTTTTCCTCGGTGGGACTAGGCTAGGGTGCTATTCTTTATATACCTACCAGCCCTGCCACAGCGTTTGGCACACAGTAGGAAACCCACATGAGAAGACATTGGGAGAATCCAGTGCAGCCCCCAGTCTGGGTAAGGTTCTCGGCCTAGATTTCATAAAAAGTCTCTACTGCTTTGAGGAGACAATCCAGGTCAACAGGCTATCTACAGCAGAATAAATGACATATGCACCATGTCAAGTAATGCTAAGTTGTGGCAAGGTATTTTTTGTTTGTTCACTTATTTTAAAGTATGCCTTCTGGTTGACTAGGGATCAAAGAGGAAAGAGACCCTATGGCAATCTATAGTATCTTCTTAATGGAATGCTCAGGGGAAAATCTCTGCCAACATCTGCTTTTTAATCTCCCTGCAATGACCCTCAAAAAAGTTTAAAATAAATAAACAAGGTTTGTTAAAAATGCTGGCCAGTAAAATATGGCAGTAGATTGGCAGCTCTTTGGCAAACTACTAATCTATTTCTTCATCTGTAAAATGAAATGATTGGATTAGGTGTTTTTTCTAGCTTGAAATTTGATGATTATATTTTACAAATGGAATAGCCTGACCTGTATTTTACCCTAGGTATGGAAAACTGAATAGGATTTAATTCTAGTATAAGTCCTTCACAAAGTTTTAAAAACTTGGCCACAGAACTGTAAATTCAGATACCAGCATGGTTCTAAGCATAAGATACAAAAATGAAAGAACCTGCAACCTGTATCACATAAAAGATTTCTTTCTTTTTCTTTTCTTTTTTTTGAGAGGATAATTCACAAGACTGAACAAAATGGTTTAGGGAAAAAAAGAATGGGAATCCATAATCAGTTTTTAGGAAATAGCAAGATCAACAGGCATAAAACATAAAGCCTGCAGTCTCATCCAAATTATTCCACAGAAATAACAACAGCAACAGTGTTTCCCAATTATCATATATTTATATATGCCTAATAGTACCCTTTTGATATATAAGCATGCATAAAATTGGTAGGCACATGATAACTGATTATGCTACTTAAATTATAGTTGTATTATGGTTGCTTTCCATCGTAACAAAAGTATCCTAGATTTTTTAAAAAACAAATAGTGGTCTTGAAGATAGTTATGTTGCCATCTTAAACAACTACCACTGCTTCAAATTCCAGGGATCAGAGTTTCTAAATAATCTAATTTCCTGTCTCCAAGAAAAATGTGAGCCTGTGCTTATTTTTTTTTTTTTGAGCCTGTGCTTATAACTCTCAAAAAAACCTCTAACTTAAATCACCTTGATTATTTTGGTGTTTCCGAATTTACATATTAAACACAAATTCTAATATATTAAAAAGTATCAAACAAAACAAAATGTATTCATGAACTGTAATGTTTAGAACCCAGATCAAAATTAGAGTAAAGTAGCTTATCTGATATTTCTAAAAACAAAGAAGGAACAATAAAATTTTTCTTTTAAAGATACAAAGTTTTCCATTATAGCAAACAAATTTAAGGGCCCAAGGAATTCTACCCTAGGGAAAGCAGTAGAGAGTCAAGGATAGAAACCAAAAAAATAGAAAGTAACCAAAGTTAGTTTTACAGTCTCTGTTTTTTTGAATTTAGTAATCAGACAGACACATACAGCCACAATTGTTCTACTTATATCAAAACTAATTAGTAAAATATTCTTTATTCTTACAGACCTTTCCATGAAAACACCATAATGAAAGGGTTGTAAGCACATTTTGAATTGATGTGGTTCCACTTAATATCTGGAGAGCACAATTCCTTTACTAAATCAATATAAGTAGATGCTTGTCATATACCAATTTTTACATCTGAGGTCATCTTAGGTCAGGCCAACCTTCTTATAACTGCATCATAATATTGTTGTCTATTTGACTTCGAGTAATGTATAGAAACACTTTTAAGATTTTATTTATTTTAGAGAGAGAGTATGTGCGAACGGGGGGAGGGGCAGGGAGAAGGACAAGCAGACTATGCTGAGCACAGAGCCCTACAGGGACTCAATCCCATGACCCAAATCAAATCAAGAGTCGGCTGCCCAGCCAACTGAGCCACCCAGGCACCCCTATACAAATACTTTTTAAATTAAGTAAGCTGAGGATAAATTAGTTTTGAGAATTTGGTATTGTTTCTTGAAATAATTGGGATTATTCTAGGATAGCACTCATTAATCTGGAGTCCTTAGATCCCTGTATCTCAAAGACTCTTTCAACTCACTGAGATTTTATGCAAAATTGTAAGTGCGTATGGTCAGCAACTTTTCTCAAATCCTCAAAGGAGTCTGTGA